AATCATTAAAAGTATGCCAAAGATGAAAAAAACAAAAAAATCAGTTGTTTGTTTATTTACAAAATAGTAGGCCTTTTTACATGTGTTTGTAGTATATTCTTTGTACTATACTTAGAAAGTTGAAAAGGACTTTTTTGAGCGGTCGCTTTGTATTGGTGCGTCAGCCTATTTTGCATTTTACGAGGTTTGCGTTATTTAAAAAATGTCTACTTAAAAATAATAAAGTATCAGTGCTCAAGAACTTATTAGGAACAACACAATAAAATAATGTTGAATTTTTAAAGTGTCACTTTTTAGATATTACAGATTGAAAATACCCGATTTTAGATGAATCGCAATATTTACACTCGATTTACACCCTGTATATTTTTACATATTTTAAAAGACAATTTAATTTGGAACAAAAAATTATTATTTTATAGGTAACTATACACTTAAACTGATTTTTGTTAAAATATGGTTATTTTAGAAACCATCAGAAAGTTCAAGTGCTTATTAATTGTTTATTTTTAATTTTAGACTGATCTAAAAAATTAATAAATACCCACATGATTTCAACTCTGAGTAAAATTAATATTTTTTTTCAGCAACTTTTTCAAATTAAATTCGTTGATTTGATATAAATTGACCCTAGCGCATTTTTTAAATTGCATTAATTACTTCTTATCGTAAGTATATATACTTATAAGTATATACATACACAATTAACTTTTGAAATATAATACTGGGAGGATTTATAAACTTAAATTACAACCGCTATGGATAAAGTGTATGAAAATAATAATATGCATTTAGTTATGTATTTTTAATATTATAATATTATAAAAATGAAAGTAATGTTGATAACAGACCTGTAGGTACATAAATTATAGGTAATGTTGATTTAATAATGCATAAAATAAAAGTAAAATGATTGTTAATCTAGATAATATATTATAATGAATATTCTTTAACTTAAATGTACCTACTTTAATTAAAACCTCTTTAAATGATTGATTACTTGTATCCGAGCTTGTATCTTAGGTCGGGTTAGCTTGAAAAATGCAACCAAAATCGTGATACAATAAAGCTTTTTATTCATAGCTAAATATTGTTTGCATTGTACCTAATTAGAGCGTTCAATATATTGGAAATTAGAGAAAACTATTTAGCATTATGCAGGTCTCATATTTTAGATTTTCTATTTAAATATCATAACTCAAATGTATTTATTTGTGATTTTATTACAAAATCAAAGTTTGGGTACGAAAATATGTTTTTATTTTTAGCTTTTGACCCAAAAATTCAAATTTTAAAGAGAATAATCCAGCAATCAAGGATATATTTAAATTTACCAAATAATAGGTACCAAATTTTTAGAATAAATTTTTGTACGAAATTTATATATTTTGGTATAATTATATATATTATATAACTTAAGTTGGCATTTTCGCGCTTAAGACAGTCATATCTGCTTAAATTGACAGTCTTAAGACAGTAGGTAACACATTTATAGGTACTATACTGCCGTGCTTAATGAAAACACCGTAACCAACAATTTTGCGATTTTTGTTTTACGGCATTTTCTACTAGAACAATTCATCCTGTGTCTATCCCAGGTACTCAAAAAACCGTATATATATAGATACGGTTTTTTGAGTACCGGGGATAGACGCAGGATGAATTATTCTAGTAGAAAATGCCGTAAAACAAAAATCGCAAAATTGTTGGTTACGGCGTTTTCATTAAGCACGGCAGTATAGTATATGTATATAGCATATATGCCTAAGGTATATGCTCCACACCAAAAAGTCCCACTTTGACATTTAGGTAAATCCAATTAACTTTTCGGCTTATTTTTTTTTTAAATAATACAATTTAGGCTTTGATTAAGAATTCACTCAACCATATGTGTATATATATACATATTAGGGTGGGCCGAAAAAATTATTTTTTGAATTCAATTTAGGGGTAGCAAAAAAAATTTACCTTAGGCCAAAAGTAGTTTGTAAAAAAAAAATTAGCGTACTAGCCCAATATTTAAGGCCCCCCCTGGGCGCCCAAAATATTATTTTTTTATATTTTGTTTGGGGTGGCAACAAAAAGTTACATTATGTTGACAAGAATTGTAGAAAAAAAATTAGCGTACTAGCCCAATATTTAAGGGTGCCCCGGGGGCCCAATATTTTTTTTTTATATATTAATTGGGGTAGCCACAAAAAGTTACCTTAAGTTAACAATATTTTTACAAAAAAATGTCCCATATTAGAGTTTGACGTAAAAAATTTGGCGGTTTAGCAAATTCTAGGGTTAAAAATGTTTATAAATTTGGAAATGTTTTTTTTAAATAAAAGAACTAAAAATATTTATAAGTCGAGCAGACGACTTCTATATAAGGTTCGGCAAGTTTCCCTTTCACACGCAAGCGGTGAAAAAGTTTGTGAAGCTTGTAACAGAAGCTGCATTAAAAATTTGCTGTGAGGTAGCAAGAAATGGTTATATATAGATGCGCGGACATCTCTACCGGCCTATATGACAACAAGTCTAACTCGAGGAGCAAATATCCAATTAATTAATAATAATAATAATAATAATAATAATAATAATAATAATAATAAAAATGCTTTATTGCGTAAAACACAAAATTAATTACACAAAAGGCTGCTTTCGTAAGGACGTTCTTCCATACCACCTACTAAGAAATTAAATCTATTTTATTCTGCATATTACATATTAATTAAACTAAATCCTATAATTTCATATCACACCAGTTAATAACAAATTTTTGTACTCTAAATTAAATGTGTTTGGATATTTAAATATTATGTTAAAGAATGTTTTATTGTTCAAAAGTTCTATAGATAGGTATATTAGGTCTATAAACGAATCCTTAGATTTTGAAGTTTTGTGACTAGGTATTTGAAAAAGATTGTGTCTTAAATCAAGATTGTGTTTATTAGATCTTTGAATAAAGTTGTTGAATAGATATTCAGGCAATTATTAGGTATTTACTTTCTGCACTAATTTTCCAAAATTTTGCTTGTAAGGATCAATTATTTTTAAATGCTTGTTTTCCAAATAGATTGAAGTAATTGGGTCAAATTTTCCGACTAAATATATGAATCTAATACATGAGTTTATTTTTAAATGTTTCAGTATGATATGAGTAGTAGACTGGCATGCAATAGTCTATAATAGGGTGTATATTAATGTTGAAACAATTTTGCACTTGGTGTTAGAATTTAGAACATACTTAAATTAATATAGTAATTTCAGCTTCATATAACACAAACTAAGTTGTCTTGTAACATGGCGTTTGTATAAAAAATAACACCCAGATTTCTTGCTGTTTCTTGCTGAGGTATTTCTATATTATTTATATGTTCGGTATTAAAATTATATTGTTTTTTATTTATCATATATACTGTACCAATATTTATTACAAGACTCTTTTTGGCATTTAACTGAAGTCTATGATTAACTGACCAAGCATTTACTTCTTTTAAGACTTTATTTATTTCGATAGTGGTTGTGTTAATTAATTTAGAGTAACGCAAAATCTTTTTTAAATTTAATAAAATCAAGCTAAGAGTTGCTAATTTTTTTCATCAAAAGGCGTCTTAATAAAATAATAAAAAAAACTTAGACTGATACCGGCATTTGGTTTGTCTATGCAATAATACATGGGGTAACTTTTTGTTGCCACCTCAATTAAAATATATATAAACAAATTTAGGCCCCCCAGGGCACCCTTAAATATTGGGCTAGAATGGCTATTTTTTTCTAAACATACTGTTAACATGAGGTTACTTTTTGTGGTTACCCCAATTAAAATATGAACAAAAAATATATTTTGGGCCTCCGGGGCACCCTTAAATTTTGGGCTAATACGCTCATCTTTTTTTTAGAATTACTGTTAATATAAGGTAACTTTTGTGGTTACCCCAATTAAAATATGATAAAAATAAATATTTTGGGCCTCCGGGGCACCCTTAAATATTGGGCTAGTACGCTCATTTTTTTTTCTAGAATTACTGTTAACTTAAGGTAACTTTTTGTTCCCACCCCAGTCAAAACATACAAAAAAAATATTTTGGGCCCCCGGGGGACCCTTAAATAATGGGCTAGTACGCTACATTTTTTTCTAATAAATTACTTTTAACATAAGGTAACTTTTTATTGCTACCCAAAAATAAATATCTCAAATATTTTTTTTTTACGTTTTTCGGCCCACCCTAATACATATGTATATGTATGAAATAAAAATACCTACATAAAGGGTAAAGGGTTAGGTAGGGTATCGTATTATTTTAAGGAAATAAGACAAAATTAGCCGCCAAAAAGATAATAATTGTATTTGTACTCAAATGTCAAGTTGGGACTTTTGAGTGTGGGGCATAGAACATTTATATTTTTTTTGTATAAGAATATATATATATACACTTATGGATTAATACTAGGTTAACAAATAGGATACAATAATTTTTTCAAAGGAATTTAAAAAAAAATAAAAAGGAAAAATCCAATTCAATTGCTTCAATAATACCCGGTACCTTTCTACATAAAAAATAAAACTTTATTTGGTAAAGTTTTGAATAAAAACTTTTTATTCACCTAAATTTAAGATAAATAAATGTAACTGTGACAAGACCTTGAACAAATACAAATACAAAAAGAAATATTGGAAAACTAAAACAAAAAATTTGTTGATTCTTCTTTGGTTTTATACCAACAAGTACCGAAGTAAGAATTGTTTCTACATTACTTGGCAAAGATATCAAGCCATTGGAAAATAAATGTATAAAACTATGTAGCTATTTATCTTAAAATTTATAATAGACGTTCAGTTTTAATTATTAGGTAATTATGTTTGGTAATTCTAATTTTAATAAGCCTGCTTATTAAAATAAAAGCAAATTTTTTTTGTTTAATAAAACAGTTGACGATGTAGCATGAAAAACGAATATCCATGGCATCCTATTTTATTTCAAATGACTAACGCTGCACCTCTAACAACTTACCTTACAAGATATCACACAGGTGAACCTTTCTTAGTTTAATTCCAAGAACTATTAATCGTGTCTTTTTAACTCACACTGTATCACAGACGAATAATCTGATTAAGTCGAACTAAACTCGAAACACATTCGCGTATATACCAAAATTCGGACCCATACGTTCACGAAAACATAAAAAACAAAAGAAAATTGTACGATTTTAACGTTCCAAAGCGGTCACTACGATGTCCGCGGTGTGTTTGATCACTTTTACGAACCGAAGGTATTCGATTGCTTGCGCAGGCGCCGCCGTTTCACCTGTTTGTTTTGTTTCTCTTCTTTTCCGTACCTTGACGTGCCATCACAAGAGACTGCGACGTTGCCAAGCATGCACTTTTATCCCAGAAGTTTGATCTTTATTTTTTTATGAAAAAAAGTAATATGAAATTTGGGACCAAAAAAAGGAATTATTAAAAAACATCTAGGAATAAAATTGAATGTTTTGCGTATTTTTTACAAATTATTGTTACACATCTGCAGGTGTACATGTGTAAACGTAATAAAAAATAAGTAATTATAATTAGATATATCTATTAAAAACTTAAGCAAACATAAAATTCACTGATAAGAATAATAAAACATATTTATCACCAATTTATATATATTAGTTTCATTTTAGATTTTTTAGCTATAGGGAGTTTTAGTAAAATGGTTCCAATATTTTTAGCAGTAATTTTAATTATTATATCGGCCATAATTTATCAAAACAAAAAAGAAGATCCGCCCAAAATATTTGGGGTGTATAGCCAGCCTGGAAAATGGTTTTATCTCAAGTATATCACATTTTCCTTAATACTTACATTAAGAAGATTGAAATTCATGATTTTTGAAAAAGAGGCTTTAATCAATGAAGATCATTTGGAACAACAAAAAGAACTATCCACTGACGATAAGGTGAATTTTAACTGAAATTAATGTGATGAAAGCTACTACCAATATAAATATACAAATTTGTAATTTTAGGCATTTGACGCGGTCTTTTTTCAAGCAGTGACCCAAAATGGATTTTTTTTGGCTGCTGGGACTGAGAGAAGACAAAAAGCCAAAACCAATGGTTTAGTATATTTAAGGGTAAGAAACTTCATAACAGGGTGCACCAAGTATCCCATGTATAGGTATCTTTTTTATTTGGAGAGCTACAACTTGTAATTTCGCAACATTTCTCTAGTTTTTTGTAGCCTACAAGAAACTAGAGAAATGTTGCGAAATAACAAGTCTACTAAAAAAATTGAAAAAAAATCAACCGATTTTCAAAATATTAAAAAAAAACACCTTTCAAAACCAAAACACGTTACAACTTCTTAACTTATTTAAAAAAGTAAGTTTTTTGCAGGATGTCACCTAATAAATTGTTATCCTTTGGGGGATGATAGTACACGCCAAAACAAGAAAGTTTTTCCTCTAACATTTTTGCATTAAAGTTGCTGTTTTTTAATAAAAAAATTCCTTGTTTTTACCTCTAAAATCAATGAAATTTTTCATCCAAGCAAAAAAGTAACAGGTATGCGAACGGTGTGTTATGTATTATCACTTGCTTGAGCAAACTTTTAAACTTATTGAACATCGTTTAGTATACATTAATATTATTGATATCAAGTATCAGGTAATATTACTGAAAGTTCAGTTGTTATTATGGTTTCTCTGGGGCTACACGCCCAGTTTATTGTACCAGATCGAAGTTAACACATTAGAACAACTCCGCGAACTTGTCATTGCAGCGGCTGATGAAATCCGAAACCATCCGGATATGATAGCAAGAGCTACACATCATAATTTTCTACGTCGCTTTCAACTTTGTGTGACAATATAAAGTAAGTATTGTTTTATTTAAAGTACCTAAAAATAGCTAGGTATGCAAAACAAAAAACAATTATTAACAAAGTAATCAGTGATAACACAAATGTAAATTTTTAATGAATGTAGATTATTAACCACAGTGCAAGCATATTTTGCTTCATTTGCTATAGGTCAGGAACAACCAGTGGCGGTCCAAAATTTCTACTTTATTTATTTATTTATTTCTTCTAAACACTTTACAAGAACTTACAAACAAGAAAGAAACTGTAGCGAGTACCCCTCTGGATCTCGGAATGATGACTCATCGCCGATGAGTCAGCGCTCGAGCGATCGAGAGCGGTCCAGAGCTCGCTGGAAGATTCGGGAAGGGCACTGAATATATAAGGAACAGCGCAGCATGAAGAGTCAGTTAAGTTTTGGTACTCGCGACGAAATAAATAAATACACGTGCAAATAAATAGACTCTTGTAAAGTAGTCATATGCAAAGATTATCTTTGGTCATATATAAATAATTAGTATTAGTAGTTTAGTTACTTTTAAAGTTTCTTAGTGTTTTAAGTGTAATTAAGTTATAAAATACATCGTCTAGTTCGTTAATAAACCAGTGCTTGCTTTAATTCACACTGCGAACAGTAAAACCGTTACAATTAATACATAAAATTTTAATAATTTTTTTATTAAAAAATGTCAATAATGCAAAAATGATGGAAAAAAGGTGAGCATGTTTTGTAAATTTCCCCATGTTGTAGCTCTTTAAATAAAAGAGAATACCCGTAGAAGCATGCACATAGAAGGGTACTTGGTACAGCTACAGATATATACTACAGTTTTTTTTCTTAAAAAACTCTGCATCTAAAATTATTAGATACTCTTCCCCATCAAAATCCTTATTTTATCTATCTCTTTCAAAAATCTTTAGTTGAAAATTGAGTAACAATTGAATTTATCGTTTTAATAATAAATTTGTCCAACTCAATGAGTTGAACTCATACGAAACTACCCAATACTTAGGTAACTTTTTAGACTCCAGAACATGGCCTATTACTAAGCGAAAAGCTACCAAACACGGTTCTTGATACAGATCCAGAATCTATAATGTTGAATAAAGTATTTGCTGCCGAAGGAATTAAGTTCTCACCTGTTAAGCCCATGAAACAATGGAATATCGAATTTCAAGGAAAAATGAGGTAAAAAGTACACACCCCATATCTGGCCGAACACAAATTACTTAATTTTTAGGTCCCACGAAAACCCAGAAAAAATGGTAGATGTCAAAATGGACGGCATATGGACTTCAGATTTGCCATACTTTTTGTTTGAAGTTGATCTGCCCACGAGCGTAATAGCAAAATCCGTAGCTTTGGAAACCTGGGACAAGGAATTATTCAAAGCATTAAAAGAGTAAGTAGGTATTTTTTATCCAATAAAAACAACACTAACCAATTTTAATTTAGAGCTCACCAAACCCATTACGAGCAAATGGGAGGGCTACATTTAAATCTAACAATTGATGGAAAGAAATATAAACTTGTCATGGACGCTTTTAGAGATCATAGTTATGGTATGAATTCAAAATTGTAGTACCAAAGAATGCTTAAATAATTTTCCAGGTTGGAGAAGAGACTGGACCTTAATGCACAGATACATCTTCCACATGTTCTATCTATTGGATGGCACCAAAGTTTCTTTAGGCGTGATAAGCCAACCCAGTACTTCATCGCACATGACTTTCGGACACATGGTTCTTCCAGATAAATCCCATTGGCCCATAGACAGCGCCGACTTACTTTTATATCAACACGCTGAAAACGGAAATCCTCCAGATACTTTAGCCTTTACTTTCGTTGCCAATAATAATAATTACGAGGTTAAAATTAAGTATGAAGTTACTGCTATTCATTATGTTGGTAACAATGTTGAAGCCAAAATGCACGAAAGGTTTTTGAGCTGCGATATCAACGGGGTAAAGGGTAAAGGTATTTCTGAGTGGCACTATAATAACGTAAAAGATTTTAAGAAATGTTAAACCTTTATTATAAAAGTATCAAAATTTTAAATTAATTCAATTATGGTTAATAAAAAAATCTTCCCTGCTTACTTCGCTATTTTTGTCCTCATCGTGTAAGTCAAACCTAACTTTATTTCCATCTTCAAAAATCTAGAAAAAAAATGGTTTAATATTTAGTTATTTACATTTAATGTACGTTTCTTACATTTGGCATTTCAGGTTCAAAATTACCCTCCATGTTATTATCAGCTTCACATAAACTACATCTCTTTTTATTTCTCTGAGTTCCATAAAGAGACAATCTTTCTCTGGACAAAGCGATTTTTTCTTCAGAAAGTTTCTTCTCTCTTGTAGACAAAGAAAACAATTGTACCTGCAGATCCTTCATTCTATCCTTGAACTTTGCCTCAACATTTTTTGATTCTCGAATTGCTTTTTCGGCTTCCTCGGATCTTCTTTCAGCTTCATAAGAAAGCTGTCGCAATTCATCTTCTTTTTCTTTGAGCTTGTTCTCTTTTTGCGTCAAAGATCTTTTAAGTTTTTCCACTTCGATTTGCTGCCTTTGTAAATTGTCTCGTTCTCTATCGGTCATTTCAGCTGATTCTTTCGCCACTTCAATTGCAGCTTCAATTTCTGCTTTCATCCTTTGGCTGTTGAAATCTACGTTTAATTTGGCGGTCGTTTCTAATCTTGATTTTTCAGCCGCTATTTGCAACTTTTCTTCGTTTAATTGTAGAAACATTCTTTCTTGTTCTGCTAACGTTGTTTCCTTTAAAGTCTTTAGCTGTTCGCGCTCTCTCTCCATCGATGCCTTATTGAACTCAAACTCCCTTTCTAGTGCAGCTGATCTAGCTGCTAAAGTGGACGAAGCTTGTTGCAAAGCCCATCGTTCTTCTTTGCCTACATTATGTTGTTCTGCTATTTTCATTTCTAAGCTTTTTACCAGCCCTAATAGTTGTGATCTTTCCAGTTCTGCTGATTCTCGACATTTTTCCAAGGACTCCCTCATCACTGAAACAACATTTTATTAATTTTGTTATAAAAATTATAATTTCACTTACAGTTAATTTCTTTTTCTTTTGCCTGTAGGGAATTTTCTCTTGCCACCGTTAATACGCTGAATTTTTCATGCATGTTTTGTTGCAAATTTAGCAAGGTTTGGCTGTTGTCATTTAAACTTCCAATACTTTGATCTAATTTTTGCGAATAAATGTTACTGTTTTTATACAAATCGCCTTCGTAATTTTTCATTTGTTTTAGGACCTCCAGCTGCGTAGCATGGTCATTTTTTATATCATCTATAATTCTAGAATGATTTTCTTTTATTTTTACCAAATCTGTTTCATGGTTCTCCTGTAATTTTTTGTAACGCTCTTCAAAAATTATATTTTCTTCTTCATGAAATTCTTTTAACTTCCTTAATTTATCTTCATATGACTCCGTCAGTGATTTCATGTCTTCCATTAGCCTTTCTTCTAATTTTTCCAAAGATTGCTCCAAAAGTTGTATTTGTTTTCTAAAATTGTATTTCTTTATTAAATAAGCATTATGAAATATGTACCTACTTGTAAGACTCTTCCGTTAAAAACATTTCTTCTCCATGGCGAGTTTTTAAAGCCTCTACAATTTTTTCGTGCCCCTTTACAGATTCATCTTTCTTCAATTTATTCATTTCCTCCTCCACCATATTTTCCTCACTTCTAACACTTGGTGTGTTCACCAATAACATCTGTATATGATTATTTATCCTTTCTTGCTGTATCTTCATATTATTTTCCATGTTTTGTTGCTTTAACATATATCTGTCCAGAATCATGTTGAATTGCTTCTCTTGCTTCACCAGGACTTCTTGCTGCTTCTTTTGTATATCAGTTAAACTTTCTTCGTATTTTTTTAGTTGTAGAGCCATTAGTAATTGAGATTCTTGCTGTTGTAAAGATAGAAAACTACTCTGAGTTTCTAAATCTGACTGAGATAATTTTTGGGTTTGCAAAAAGTTTGTAAACATTTCGTTGCTTTCTATTGATTTATTCAATATTATAGCTTCAGTTGGCCTTATTTCTTCTGTTTCTTTAGTCTTTTTTATTGCGATTGTTGGTGGTTCATGATTTTGGTTAATTGCTGGTTCTGATTTCGATAATTTTGAATGAGCTCCCCCTAACCAATCAGGTAGGTCCGATACATTTGTAGTGCTTTTGGAAAATTCTTTTGGTGGCAATATTTCCTTATTTTCAATGGAAATCTTTTTTTCCTCTGCTTCATTTTTTTGTGGTTCTTCTTTTTTAGTTTCAAATAATCCTAAAGGATCAACTAGGCTTCCAGAAGGTCTTCTACTTCTTCTTCCCTCCCTTGTAGAATCAGAAATGCTGAAGGGCTGGCTAATTTTTTCCACTGGTTTATGGAAAAAACTTGGTTCTACGTTTTTTGTACTTTCTTCCTTTTTGGCCTTGCTTTCCTTTAAAATATCTTCAAATGTAAGGATCTTTTTTTCTTCTGGTTTTGTGGATAAAATACCTTCTAAAATATCTGTTTTCTTTACACTTTTAACTGTTTTCCCTGATTTTTTTTTATCTAGGCCCATGGTTCCCAAAATATCGTCGTCATCATCAAAATTGATATGCTTTTTATTCTGCATCCCAGTGGTTTTTAGTGTAGAATCCAAACTCGGAAATATATCATCTATGACATCAGTTTTCTTCAAAGTATCTTCACCCAAATTAAATAAATCGCTTACTTTTTTCTCCGGTGTTCTCGAAACACTTGTTCGTTTTTGAAGAACTTTTGGATCATCAAAAAAACTATCGTCGCTTTCATCTGATAAATCCATTTTTATACGATTTTAACAAACCACCAAACAATTATTTTATGCTTTAAAACGATTTTGTTTGTATTGTCCATTACTTAGCAATATGCCCCCACATTATATGGGCCACATATTTTTCAATTTAATTTGAGTTGGTTTGGCTAGTATTTAATGTTAGCATTATATTACCAATTTATTAATAAATTCAAACCTATTGATCTTATATTTCCTTTTCTTGTTTAAAAGAAAATTTTATAAAAAAATTTGGCAACACTGTTTGACGTCAATTTGAAGAAGAAGACTAACCTTCTTTGTCTATGAGACTAACCTTAAATATTTTGTTGACAGTTCTCTATCATTTAAATTTGTTATTTGTTGTGATTTACAACTCGTTTTTAAAACTTTTTGTGTTTGTCGGAATCCATTAAAATAATTATGTAAGTAAATTAATTAAAATAATGCAAAATTACTATAATTCAATACATATTACTTAAATAGGGGTGAAATCAATATTGAGCAGTCGCTCTTTTCATCAATGTATAAATATCATGGAAAAACCAAAGAAATAATACAAAGTGAGCGAAGAAAGGAATTTATAAAAAGACATAAAGAGTATGATTATGATATATTTATAAAAAAACTATTAAATACTTACCTACCTACTTTTAGCAAAAAAAATGCAAATGCAGACTATAACAGATGTATTTTGAATGTACTAGATGAACAAGAGCTTTGTATGGAAATAGAAGAGTCTCAAGAGACCAGAGAATATAGGCAACCATTTAAATATAAATTTATGCTCTCAGAATGGTTCCTTGAGCCACCTCCTGATTTAAAAGAAAATTGGTTGTTTAAGTTATGTCCAGAAGGAAGCAGAATCTTAGTGATTGTTAAAAGAGTATGTGTGTTTTTAAAGACGATATTTATTGTATTAATAAAATATTTATTTTTTAGAACCGAACCATTTGTGTGCATAAGAATGGTAAGACTTTTCTGAAGTTGAGCACAAGTTTTCCAGGGGGTACTAAAGAGTCGCAAAATGGATTGACTGTTTTTGATTGTGTTTATAATAAAAACACAAAAACAATTTTTATTTTAGATTGCTTGTGTTGGAATTCCATGTCAATGTTGGAGCATGAGGTTAATTAAAATTAAATATGTTGATTTTCATAAGCCATATCATAAGTTTATAGGCTCACTTTAGGTTTTATTGGTTAGAAAGCAAATTTAAAGAAAACCCTGAATTTTTAAAGGAAATGTCGAAACACTATTTTAAATTAATAGATATTGGGCATGCTGATATAAATCTATTACAAGAAGACTTGATGAAGCCAATAGAAATTAATGGGACTATAATTCCATATGATGGTGTTGTTTTTTATTATGGTCATTCAGTTTACAATTTTGGTTATACTCCTCTAACCATGTGGTTGCCTTCTTTTATGTTGACCGAAAAATTGGGTGTTCAAGTTGATGTGGTACATTTGAGTAAGAGGCCTCCAGATTATGTTTGTGCTGAGGAATTTATGAAAAGTTTGTGCAAAAAAAAAATGAGAAAATATAAAGGAAAAAACAAAGAAGTGGTAAGTTATCTAAAACAATGATTTCATTTATTAATAATAATTATAATAATAATACTTTATTTATGCTTAAAACAATACAAAAATTTTGTGCACAAGTCAGGAACTTACATAAATTAATAGACTTAATTTATACACTTTATAAAAATAAGTAAATACAATAATAGATTAACAATTTATAAACTACAAGAATCTAAACAAACACAATTGTTTACTTTTAATAGTTTTAATTGTTTTTAAAAACTTTCCACATCCTTTTCCATGTTTAAAAAAAGTGATTTTCTTCAATGGGTCATTCCACGTTACTCGGGGATTTTTGTCCCGCCCGTCACAATTAAAAATTGTGAGTAAAAACTATACGTTATAAAATGTATTTTAAAATAGTGTTTTATTATGCTTTTAATAAGTTATAAGCACAATAAAAATAATATTACAAAATATTAATTTTATAACTTGTTGTTTTTACTCACAATTTTTAATTGTGACGGGCGGGATAAAAATTACCGAGTAACGTGGAATGCCCCCAATGTAGAAATACCCTGGATGCCCAAATTTTTTTTACAATAAAATATAAAATAAATTGAAGAAAAAAAATATGTATTAGATTATAAAGAAATTTATAATAAAACTAGAACCTTTTGTTAAAATTAAAAATTACATACTAGTTACAAAAAAGAACAGGTAGGCTCAAATAGCAATTGCTAATACTTAAGTATTAAAGCATCCATCTTACTTTTACATATCCAAACTTTTTCTATTTAACATTAGTTTCTTTACAATAGTGGCCAAACGGTTTTTTAAATATCAGTGATATATCATTGCTTATAAATATAATGTGATATATATCGGGGATATATATCGATTAAACCCTGCATTTAATCTTTGCTAAAATATTTAGACCACAAACTGGGTTAAAGGTAAATTAAACACAAAAAATATCTTAAGATTGCAAACAAACCTTAATTTATTTAAAAACGGATTGTATAAAATTGGTCATATAGTGAAAATCACCACAATTCAAATAGTTTTCGTTTTATATTTCTGTCCTCGGCAACCCCCATTACGTGATCAAGCATACTATGCGTAAAAATTGCTGGGATTTGGATTCAATGACTTCTTACTATAATTGTTATTAGGTGTGCGCCAAACATCAATTTGGCTTTGTCCAGTCAATTTAAATTTAAAATGTATGCAATATCATGTAAAGTTTAAACCATTAAAAAGACAACATATGAAGAATTACAAGTAGGGTTGTGCCTGGTCAATTGACCAAGATTTTTACCTATTTTGACAGGAGAGATTTTGACCATGTAAAAATCGGTTAAAAACTTTTCAACCGCGCGCGGCGGCGGCGCTACCTAGCGGAGAATATCAAAAGTATTAAAAAATTGTTCAGTAACGAGGATGATGTGCCGTTATCTACACATGCTAGCACCGTGTTGTCGGTTTTTGGTTCTTAAAAGAACCGTATGTCTGACGACGTTTCGGTACAATCTCATGTACCATCTTCAGGTCTTATCTGCTGGGCTGCTGTTGCTGCTCTCCTGCGAGCTAGACGTGAATATTCTTAAAAACAATGATATGAATGTTTTTTTGTACCTCAGAATGGTTTCTTTATTTTTTGTTAGCTGTTTTTCAATAAATATACGTTTCTTTTTAAAATTAAGTAATTTTACTCATGCCTTCATTTCTTTAGAAAAAAATAAGGAATTTGACTGGTGCTTAGTCAATTGACCACAAAAGATTTTGACCGGTCAAAATTCCAACCCTAATTACAAGGCACATACGTGTCAAGCTTTGTAAATGAATTTTTATGGGCGAGCTAGAAGTTTGAGGGTGAGCGACGCAGGAGCGAACCCTATAATCCAGTGAGCCTAGTAAAGATTAATTGACGCGTTTCTCGGAAAAACATCATTAGTCCAAAATTAACATGTTTGGGAAAATGAAAAAAACTCTCCGACATTCCCATTTTTGACCAAAGTACTTTATTGACCTGTTTACTACATGTAAAAAAATGTAAGCTACTTTGTCCAGAATTCCTCGTGGTTTTTTTTCGACGAATATGAAAAAAAACACAAAAAATACATGAACATGTGAGGTTTTTAGAAGAAAAAAACGAACAATTCTCCTTACTACAAACACTACAAACTAAATATTAACTCTGAGTAACAAAATAAATGAAAACTAAAAACTGTATAATACAGTCTGTATTACTGCCACACTCAGTCTTCGCATCCACTGCTGTTATCATCGTTGTCGACCGTGTTATCAGGACTGTCAGGTGCTATGGTATTCTGGTCTTTTATCAAGTTATCATAAAATTTTCTATTGCTGTGGTCATGTAAAAGAGGTAGAAGCTTTTCTAGAGTGTCCAAAAACGTCACATGTTATGCACATGTGACTTTCTTAGACGAAACGGAGTGGACTTGTGATGTTTTTAGAAGAACAAGCTAAATTTCATATTTAATTATTATGGAACCTATGACATTTTTACGAGAAACACTTATTTGTATATGTATATATGGAGGCTAGGAAACAGTTGGTGCTAATATCTAAATTTCGACGATATTGGACTAATGATCTTTTTCCGAGAAACGCCTCAATTGCAAAGTATAACACATGCAAACTTTGATTTTCACCTTAGGATAACGATTTTCAAATTAATGTGTCATTTCATTTAATAAATTGCTTTTCTACAAGCCTGTAAAACTTAACAGGTCTTTAACACAATCCCGTAAAATATTACAGGTCTGTTCCCATAATGTATTGTTTACTTGGATACAAAAACAACAAAATTAATCTATAAAATGCCATTTACTAAGAAGATGGAAAGAAATAAATAAAAAATATCTTAATTTAGAACGATAGGCAATCATCATATCAATTTGGGTGATGCAATATAAATGTTGATGAGTATTATATTTGAGTATACCTACTGTTGTTTTCATTGACATTTTGTTTCTACTGTAGTGACAAAAATGATAAAGTAATCTTCAAACTAGTTTTAAAATTATAAAAAAAATTGTTTATTGATTAAGTATACACTTTAGAGGTAATTATGGAATACCTTAGTCAAATTTGTCCTTGAAATAAAAGTTGCAGTTTGCAGATCATCTTAAATAAAATTATAAATCTACTCATACATTCAAAAATATTTACAAATCATTATTGTGTTCAAATAAAAATAAAAATATTCTTTTCAGATGGCCATGGAGTCAACAGATTGTTAAGTTTAGAATATTTAAGAAAATGTTTTTTGTATGTTAAAACGTTGTGTGTATATTTATTTTAATGTAAATAAAACCAATTTTTTAAACTTAAGTTTTATTGGTCCTATTGAAATAACATCCTATATTTATTAATGTCTTAACAATATTTAAAAAAATAACGTCTAGTAATCTTATTTAACTTCATATAAATAATTTTGGCACTGTTTATGTGCCCATTTTTGTAACTTATACAGACTAAGTTATGAAGGTAGGAAATAAATATGAAACGAATTGACAATCTATGGTTTTAGAAGGAGTATTTGCTTCACATGTGTCTTGTGTTTCCAAAGTTGATTCCCGATTGAGTGGCTCCCTTGTTGCTTCCCATTTGGAGTCCAATGATTGTTTGGCCAGCCTTGAGCTTCTCTTCGGAGAACATCCTCTCGTTCTTCTCGGACTCTTTTGGCCCGATCGAGGGCTTTCCAAACTGGCCGGCCTTTCTTCCTAGCGACTGAAGGCAGATGACCACCGAGTTGAGGTTTTGCCTCTCCCACAGGTCGACGGTCTGGAATGTTTCTTGAGCGGGAACTCCCAAGTCTCTGGCAGCTTCCAAAAAGGCGTTGATGTTTTCCATGCATTTGAAGGCCATGGCGGAAGTGTTGACTTTCTTTACACTGCCGGGCTTAATTGTATTTACCAATCTGAAAGGAAAAAAATAATGATAATCATTTTTTTTATTGTACAATGGTGGACACGAAATTTCGAACGACTATCATTCCGCTGATATCAAAATCTTTCTCTATGAACAACTAACCTTACTTTCAAACAAGTATTAGAAATATTCCCAAGTACTTTTTCACCAACGATGTTGGCATCTTCACTTTGCTTCTGAAGATGCCAACATCGCTGGGAAAAGTACTTTAAGCACTTTGTGTTTTGTTCTGGTGTTGGGGAATATTTCCAATATTTGTTTAACCTATCCCCAAAGTTGTATTGTACCTTTGCTATTTACAGAATCATACAAGGACAACCAAAATTTCCATTTGAGAAGGAAAAAATAATTAAGGTTGTGTATCTGTCATTAAGACCTTTATACACAAAAAATACGTATTGTATTATTTTCAGAAAATTAGACGAAATTAAACTGACAGATATGTATATAACCAATAATTAATATTTGCAGCATTCCTTATTCAAATGTCAAAGTGGGACGTTTTTATGTGGAGCAGTATTTTTTTTGTATTTTAGGGATTTAAAAATAATCTATGATTAAGCTTGTTAAAGATCACATTAAATTATTTGAAGATGAGTCATAATGTATCAATGACGTAATTGTTAAATAAATAAAAGATTAGCGTTAACCAATAAACATAATAGGTCATACGCGTTTTTTAACAGTAGTGGTTTTAAAAAGAAGAAAAATTTTTTTTTCTATAAGTATTAATAGTATATTATGTATCAAGTTTGATAAACGCCATTTTATACACGAATTTAATTTAGGCACGAGCGAGCTTGCGAGCGAGTGCTTAAGTTAATGAGTGTATAGAAAAGTTTATAAACGAGGTGCATACTATACTTTTTCTACCACAAGTACTTATTATTATCTTAAAATGATTTAAATCAAAAATTTGTATAGAGCGCCATCTATGAAACAACATTTTTAAATTTTATAAACACAATTATAAAGGTTATAAATCGAAATGTATCTTGAAAATTGACAGTTTTTCACAGTGAAAGTAAAGGAAATGTTTTATGAGGACTTTACAGTAAAGTCCGTGCCCGAATTTAAGTTATAGTTTACTGCCGGCGAAATTAAAAGGTCAGTACAATGTTTATATAAACATTTCAAATATTGGCGTTGAGAAACTATTTAGGTAATATTTTTGTATTTTTGTATTGAGATAATAAAAGTATTAAATGAACTATACATGTTTGTGTTCGAACTTTATGAATGTGCCTAATTCAATTTAATTGCAGTAAATGATTAATTAGCTTGCATGCATTCAAAATTGTCAACTACCCGTATAATTTTATTATTTTGTTTTGTATTTTTTCGACCAAATGCAGTTATATAAATATATATATATATATATCGTGTGAAACGTTAAAATATTTAAAGACCGACAATAACTAAATATTACACTGATCAACACGGTTTTTGCATTAAGCATTTAAAAAACTGAATTCTTACAAAAAATCAACTTTATTATTTTACATATAAATTTTAATTTTGAAACTTAAAAAAAGCATAAAGTTTGTTTTAAAAACAATCACAAATGAAATTTAGCATGGGCGTCGCCAAGGGGGTCAGCCCCCAGACACGAAAAAAATTAATCAAATGCCAGGTCCGATTTATAATTCCTAGCAGGTACGGTTTAAAATAAAATAAAATACTTAAATCGAAAAACAAGAAAATATTTAAAAAAAAATGACGGATAGATTTTAAATCAGCTTTTTAACTATGATTTCGCGAAAGAATCGAACGATTTTGGGGTATTTTTTTATAACACATCTCAGATTTTTTTTATATTTTAATATTGTGTTTATACATCTAATTCCACCCTAAATCTAAAATTTTTCTTTTATCTGACCCAAACTTTGGCTCCCAGAGACCATTTAATTTTACATTTCGCAAAAAGCCATAATTTCATTATATTAGCATAATTTTTTTATTAAAATACTGAATGTTTTGAGATGTGGTCCATAAATAACCCTTATTAGTACCTACAATTCTACCAAAAAAAAAATTAAATTTTTTACATATAGGTGGCGCTGCAATTTTTTCTTCTTCAAAAATAGACGTTTTTTGAAGACCAAAAACTCTCTTAAGCAACAATGCTCAAAAAAACTAAATAGTATACCAGATAAAATACATATTCCTTTATAATTTGATATATAAAAATTTACTTGCAAATGATGTTGCCGTCCGTAAAGCCAACTTAAAGTTTTGTTTACCGCATTAAAAAAAATTGAATTACACTTACAACTTTATTGAATTACACTTACAACTTTATTCTTATTTATTAACAGCAAAAAAAAGTTTTATTTTTTCACGCCCAGGGGGCGCTGCAGCCTTTTTTCTTTAAAAACTATATAGCATTTCAGATAATATAGTTATGTATTCCTTTATTATAAAGAGTTACGTATTCCTTTATTTATTTAATAGGTTTGTTCTTTATTTTATTTATTATGTTTTTCTTTATTATTATTATTGATATTACTATTTCTTTATTATTTAACATATAACAATTTATCTGCAAGATTTGCATATATTAAATAATAAAGATATATCCTAATAATTATAATAATAATAATAATTATTACCTTTACATTAAATTTTAAACTTGTTGGGCTCTAAGGGGTATATTCGCTAACTTTTGAGTTATAAATAACCCTGGTTTATATCATACTGGCTGGTTCAAATCTCTAGAGCGATTCTCAGAATCAGATTTTAACCAGGGTTATTTATAACTTAAAAGTTACTTAGGCCGCAAAGGAACTACTTTAAAACTCATAAAACTTCAAAAAACTTCATCCGCTTCTGGGCTAATTTCTTCAATTTCTTCCGGCAAATTTTTTAATTTTCTTTTTCTATTTTTGTTTAACCTTCTATCTGACGATAATCTTGATAATAAGCCCCGTATCTGATTAGGATGCATATACTCGTTTGAAGAAAACTAAAATTTGCCATTTACTTCATAATTTTGTAAAGCTGTTGCAGCAGTTCAACAATATCTACCGTCAATATATGCCCAAATGAAGAAGATAAAAATACTTTTTTTCGAGTATATGCAACAACACTGTTGCTATATATTCAGGCGTATATTTAATTTTAGTTTTTTCACCTTCTTCAAAAAGGTTGCCAACAAAATCTTTTTGTTTTTCATTAAAACGTGATTTTTTAATTTTGCGCCTTCCGAACCCTTTTGCATATACTCGAAAAAAAGTATTTTTATCTTCTTCATTTGGGCATATATTGAAGGTAGATATTGTTGAACTAGTTGCAGTTAAAACATCTTTTTGTTTTAAAAATTCCATTCTAGCAACATCACCTATAGTTTGTCTAATTTCAGGAAATTTATGATTTCGAAATTTAAGGTGGTTTAGAAGATCATCTTCATTTTCAAAAACCCTACTGCAAAGTAATTCGTCGCACCTATATTTAATTGCTTTTAAATTATTTAGATTTTCCTTTTGTCGACTCGATGATGTCCAAGGAACTTTCATGTTTACTCCAGAAGAAAATTCAATTCCTAGAATTTTGATTTACTTAAAGAAAATTTATTAACTTTGCGTACCTTTAAAAGCATGATATTTTCCCTCTCCAATTTCAACTTTTGTAATAACGGCAAAATTTTAAATGTTATTATGGTTACCGTTTGACAGTAACTGTCAACTGTTGGGGTAACTTGATTCCCAGCCTATAGGCTTGACTTTAGTTTAATTTTAAAGTACGATAATAAAGAATGCTTTGCCTCTCTAAATATACTAAAATATATTTAAACAAATGGTCATATTACTATTACTATTACTATAGAGTCACTGAAATACTTGTTACCATTTGTAATTAAAATTTCTTTGGTTTTGTTACCTTTTGTCCGCATACAACAATAAAAGCGAAAAAAGGCGTTTATATAACAATATGCGGGTACGTGCACTAGTTATAATTTTAATCGTCCCTACAACAGGCATTAATTATTGCAAATAAATTTTTATATGTCAAACAATAAAAGAATATCTATATTATCTGATACATTATAAATAATGTCATTAGTTTTTTAAGCAATGTTGCTTAAGTAACTTTATGGTCTTTATAAACGTCTATTTTTGAAAAAAAGGCTGCAGCGCCCCCTGTATATAAAAAAATAAAACTTTTTTTTGTTGCGTTTTAGTTACCAATAAAAGCCATCACCTGGAGTTCCTTAGTTTAAAAATAAGGATAGAGTTGAAAGTGTAATTCAATTTTTTTTAATGCGGTAGACCAAACTTTAAGTTGGCTTTACGGGCGGCAACATCATTTGCAAGTAAATTTTTATATGTCGAATTATAAAGGAATATCTCTATTATCTGGTACGCTATTTAGATTTTTTGAGCATTGTTGCTTAAGAGAATTTTTTGTCTTAAAAAAACGTCTACTTTCGAAGAAAAAAAAATTGCAGCGCCACCTGTATGTAAAAAATTAAAACTTTTTTTTGACACAATTGTAGGTACTAATAGGGGTCATACATGGGCCAAATTTCAAATCATTCAGTATTTTAATAAAAAATGTATGCCAAAATAATGGAATTTGGCCTTTTTGTAAAAGGCAAAATTAAATAGTTTCTAGGAGCTAAAGTTTAAGTCAGATGAAAGAAAAATTTTAGATTTAGTGTTAAATTGGATGTATAAACAAAATATTAAAATTAAAAAAAAATCTGAGATGTGTTGTAAATCGATCGTTCGATTCTTTCGCGAAATCATAGTTAACCTTTTGGGTTTTTAATTTAATTAACCTACAATTCATATCCTCTATCTATCATTTTCCCCCCCTGGCCCATGGGCTGGCTGCGCCCCTGCCCTTTAGTAATTGCTTTGGGAAGTTACTGTCTTTTCCAGACAAACTGCAGACTTAATTACTTTGCCTCTGACCTAATGCCTTTAACTTGAACACAACAACAAAAATTATAAAATCTGTGAGAAAATAAGTCAAGTGTAGCCAGACAATAATGTATGTGTTTAAATTTAATTGTGTTTATTATCAAAGGGGGAACATATCTACTTTGTTTTAAGTCATCAAAAGTACAAAGCAAATTTATTCCCCTCTTATTATAAACAATCGCATTAAATGGAACATATTCTTAATCATGTAAGGTTAAGTATGTATTAAAATATTGTTTTATCGTTGAGTGAAGAAGTATCACTTATCAATCAATGGTTTTATTATTTCGTCTTAAAATAATATTTGCTAGGTCCTTATAGATTAATTGTTTTATTATTTTATATATTGTGGGGGTACTTAATACAAGTTTTACTTACTTGCATAAAAGCGTGCCGTCTCTAAGTACGTCATAAAAATTGTCCATATCACCGGCTGTATTAATATCATCTTGGGTTATAGATGCAATCCATTCTAGACTTTCTCTCGCCAAATCTTCGCTGTATTTTGCGTTAACCTGAAAATGCAAAAATTAACATTAATATTATGTGATATGATTAAAGAAGAAGACATGTCCGTTCGTTGTCTAGGTAAGAATACTTGGTTCATGGTTTACCACCCTTCGCTTATTACGCTTTTCTTCGGACCATTCCACATTATATGTGGAATAAAAAAAAAATCGCCTGAAGAAAAGCAAAATAAGCGTTAGCTGTAAAATCTTTATTTATTGTGCGATTTTAACCGGATTTGTTTTAAAGTGTAGATCTTGATAAACTGTATTTTTGGGGCAAAAACGCCGTATTTGTACAAAATACAAGGCCTACTATGTCACGTTTTTAAGAGTAAATTTTTAAACATGGTACTATTACAATAAGTTTAATTTTTGTTGTTATTATTGTGCATTTTTCTACTTAAAATTATTCAATAAAATTTAGTATAGGGTCGTTTTGAGGGGTGGTGAATCCAGTGCCGTGCTTAGATTTTGTTTAAAAAAATCGCTAATATGAAATCTTAAAAATTAACTCTTAAAAACTGACATAGTAGGCCTTGTATTTTGTACAAATATGCTTAAAAAACACAGTTTATCACTTTAAAACAAATCTGGTTAAAATCGCACAATAAATAAAGATTTTACAGGGGTGAGTCGCAAACAAATAGGTTACAATGTATATTAAATGTGATATTTATAAATAATAATAATAATTGCTTGGCCATTTTATTTAAAATTTACAAATCTTTGCATAAATATAAATTAATTTATCTTTGTATTGTGGTAGGTACCTACCTATTCAAAATTGAAAACAAGTTTTGTGACAATTAGTTTTAAGAAATGTTGTTAATTAAAAAATTAATTATTAATTGTTAATTAAAAAATTTCAAAATGCTTTACATAATATGTTAATTCTAATACTGGAGATGACTGTCAAATGCATTTTAGGACATTTGCTATCAAAAAATAAATTCGGTAATACTATAACCCCACTAAAAATGTTTCTGAGAATAATTGATAGTTTTTTTTCTAAATTTTTGCTAATAAACTTGCTTTTCAGAAAAAAATATTGAAATATTCTAGTTTACGGAAAGAAACATTAATTTATCAAAGACGCCATTTTTTATTTATTTTTTTAATTTAATGCAGATCCCATGCATGGTGGGCCAACTTTTCTTTTTGTTTTTTTTAATTGAAAGTTGAGCCCTTGGCGTGACAAGTGTGTTTTTAAGCATTTTCGGTATATGTATATTAATAATGAACAGTATTTATTCAAATTTAAACAATGTTTTATAGTATATTATCAGTATCAAGTTTGATAAACGCCACTTAAGTCACGAATTTATTATTATATATATTAAATATAGAGTGGAATTCAATCTAAAGGACACATATGAAAGAAAAATTGGTTGACCACTGCTATGTTCTGCGTATCCAAAAAATAAAACGGCATTTTATTCGGTAGGCCTGTGGCCTATGATCTGAACCAGAATATAGTCAATTTTTAGCACATAAAAAGTTACGATTTTTGTCACTTAAAGACTTAAGGCTTGAACAAAATACCATTAGCATTTTATCTGAGGAGTAAAACTTGGAACTGAACCGGTACCGGGTTCGATTCCCGGTCACAGCCCTGGTTGTTGTGATTGTTTATTAAGACAAAATATACATATAATGTGCTGGCTAAATAGGTTGAAAAAGCCTAAAAGCCAATAAAAAAAAAAAACTTGGAACTGAAAAATTAAAAATCGCGTGCGAATTAACGGATTAGAACATTTTTCCATTGATACAAGAGTCGAATAAGAAAAAATCAGAGTACCACGTCCAAATAACGCTGAAAGTTGGTATCGCTGATTTTAAAGTGGTTTGTCCCTCGATTTTATTTCAATCGGGCCAGTAGTTTTTAAGACAGTGGCAATTTAAGAATGAAGTTTTAAGAAAAACTCATAAAAAAAAATTTTTTATCATTAGAAATTGGTTTTAATTTTCTCAAAAATTAGTAAAGAACTGGAAAATGATAAATTTTGTGCTAGGAAACATTTATAGAATTGATTTAACGAAACTTGCGCAGCACATAATAATGTTTTTAATTAAAAATGTATACAATTTTAAAATTAATAAATAAGAATAGCATTAACAAAAGTTTTGCAATTAGTTCTGCTATGTTTTAGGCTATTACTTAAAGAATGTTTAATTATAAAAAATAATTACTTGCAAAGCGTAAAAACCTTGAATTTATTATTAACTTTTAAGAATAGTTAATTTAATGTTACTAAAAATGTAAGTATTTAATGTTGTAATACAGGGTTTACCAAGTTTCATTTTATGTATGGGTTAAATTAGAGAAGTCTAATAAAATGACATTTGGGATAAAAAAACACCTGTTTTCAAATAATTTGAAAAAAGTAAGTTTCATATGTAATCATACACATTTAGGTATCTACATTTTCATCCAATTTGTGATTTTTGCATAGCTTATGTTGGCCATCTTAAAAACAAAAGATGGTAATGAAAACACAAAATGTAGTAGCGAAGAAATTGGATCAAAATGTAGATCATTGTGTATGTTTACATGTTAAACTTACTTCTTTAAATTTCCGGGAATAACGAAGTAATTTTGTTTTGACAGGTTTTTAGTTTTTTAAATATTTGAGTTTTTTTTTCAATTTTAAAATTTTATTTAAATAGTGTTGTAATTACATAATATTTCTCTGATATAAGCGACCTTGCCTTTAAAATAAAAAAAAATACCCATAATATACCTATATATTATGTATACGCATTAGGGTGATTCAAAAAAACCTTTTTTTTGTTTTTTTTTCTCATAACCACGCTCAAAAGTTTCGTATAGATATAAACATGAGCATGTTAAAAAATGAGCTCTTAATTTCAAAATTAAGATGCTCCGCATCGCACTTTTCGATTCGAACCTTTTTTTGTAGAGCGTTCAATTCTCTACAAAAATATGTCAAGAACTTTACAATACGTCCTATTGTTCGTTAGTTACAAATATAATAAGAAACAAAAATAATTTTTCCTATGTTATATACAAAAGTGCTCTTTTAGTTCCACCCTTACTTCCTAAGAAGTCCAAGAAGCCAACTGAATGGCTTGAGCGGGTTGGGGGTAGGAACGGACCGCGGGCTTTAGGTCCCCTCCGAAGGACTATTACACAATAGGACAAACACAAATAATTATTAATATAATATATGTATATTAATAATATTCTTATGGAAAATCGAAAAGTTCGATGCGGAGCATCTTAATTTTGAAATTAAGAGCTCATTTTTTCACAGGCTCATTTTTATATCTATACGAAACTTTTGAGCGTGGTTCCGAGAAAAAAAACAAAAAAAATGTTTTTTGAATCACCCTAATACGCATAGAAGGACCCTGTATAATTTGAAAAATAAAAGTTTAAATTTAAATTGTCGTTAAAACGGTTCTGTTAGAGAAAAAAATATGTATATGTATATAAATGTGTACGAAGGCGTAGAAGGGACAATTACCCAAAATTTATTTTTAATATTTAATTCCGAGTTAGGTAACTCAGAATTAATTCCCCCCATTTAATTCTGCGTTAGCTAACACAGAATTAAATCCGCCATATTTAATTCTGCGTTAGCTAACACAGAATTAAATCCGCCATATTTAATTCTGCGTTAGCTAACACAGAATTAAATCCCCCATATTTAATTCTGGGTTAGCTAACACGGAATTAATTGCATTTAATTCTGTGTTATCTAACGCAGAATTAAATATGTCGGATTTAATTCTGTGTTAGCCAACGCAGAATTAAATATGGCGGATTTAATTCTGTGTTAGTTAACGCAGAATTAAATATGGCGGATTTAATTCTGTGTTGGCTAACGCAGAATTAAATATGGCGGATTTAATTCTGTGTTAGCTAACGCAGAATTAAATAATAAAAATGAATTTAGCGTAATTGTCCCTTCTACGCCTTCGTAAATGTGTATTTAATATGTATTTAATTTTACATTTTTTTAATAATTATTGTAAATTTAAATTAAATTATTCCAGTAATTAGTATGCTTTAAATTATTTGAAACCTTGGCCCAATAGCGTATCAAGTATTTGAAAACAATAATTATTATTATCAGTTTATTTACGAAACAATTTATTTCACTGGACAAATAAATTTTAATAATACTTAAACTTTAGTGTGAAAACATGGGAAATAAGGTTAAATGTTTAGTACCTATAAAAACAAAAAAGCTAGACATATATGTACATTATAAACATAATTTAGTTCAGTAGTTTACTTTGTACTTATAGGTGCTCGAGGGTGGATCCAATTTAGCTGGATTAAAATTGCAAGTACACTGGTCGACATAAAAATGAATCAAATAAAATTTAAAGTTTAATGTTTTAAAATTTTTACCCTTGTACTACAAGATGTATAAATAACAACGTGCTATAATAATTATTATTATTATTATTATTGTCAACACTACTAAAGTGATCGATCGATTATCGCCTAGGCTGTAAAAATAATTTCAGGTAAAGTTATCTTATTGTATGTAAAAAACCATTTAAACCAATCAAAAAATTCGACGACTGTCAGATCTACCTAATATCACTTTTTAATTTTAATAATAATTATTATAATTGTATGTTTTATTTATCGTGTACCTAACAATTGTGCCTTCGCTCCGCTTCCGCTATGGGTCGGCACAAAAATACTCACTTCTTAGCGTATAGGGTTATAACGACATAAATAACTATTTGTTAATTGGTTAATAAATCTAATTTATTTGCTTTTGGCGCCGGTATGGAACATCAATACATTTACCTCGGCATGTCTATAACCCGATAAAAATATAATCATTCCCTGTGGTGATTAATCTAAAAAACGTCTTTATTTGGTTGTGTCTATTAAATCATATCTATACATAAATTTATGACTCACGTATAAAGGCCAAATACGGATTTGTGTAACGGTTAGAAAATGGTAATGTTGTAAAAGTTGTCGATTTTTTTTGTACTATAGGTTACATGGTTATTTAATAACATGTGGGCTTTGTAGAAAACTTAATTAAAATCATTTTGATGGAAAATGCAGGTTATTATATTAATACATTGCATTGTTTTATGCCTTCGGGTGCTCATGTATAGATATTTGTCATGTTATTTACGTATGCACTTATATGCATTAGAAGTGTAAATTTAAATAAATTATGAACTGCAGGGTCGGACCAACAATTTATTAACCATATCTACATAAAAAATACAATACAATACAATAATTATTATAATTAATTCGAATTTTCGGTGGAAATGCCTAAGTACTCTCTAAAAATGAATAGGTCAAAAATGACTAGTTTTCAAAGTGATAAAGCAGTCACTAATAACTGTAGTCTACAGCAATTTGTATCCCGGATATTTAACAGTCAATTTCTATGTAAAATTGTTCGCCGAAAATGTTATCCAAAGTTATGAAAGTAGAGCAGTTTCTGAGATATAGTTAATTCCATATTATTTGGAAAATTGACTATATCTCAAAAACTATTCTTCTTTTAAAACTTTTGACGACATTTTTGGATTCAGCGGACAATTTTACATAGAAATTGAATGCTAAATGTCCGAGGTACAAATTGCTGTTGACTAGAAATATACTATAGTGGCTGCTTTGTTTGCTATGACAATTAGTCATTTTTGTCCATAATAGTACATTATGTATCAAGTTTAATAAACGCCATTTTAGTTACGAATTTAAATTAGACAGTTTTTAACTAAATGAGTGTCTAGAAAAGTTATACTTTTTCTACGACAAATATTATTAGGTATGAAATTTAATTTTGTATCTATTAATTTAAATATTTGTACAGAGCGACATCTATACAAAAATAGAGTAACCCGTGAATAGGTTTTACTGGCTTTTAAAATAGCCGTGTTAGTTGCCAATTTTTTTTGTAAAGATCAAAATTTATCTCTTGAAATGGATCAACAACCATTTAAATCCGATTCAGAAGCAGTTTTTACAGTAAAATATGAATTTTTAAATGTACTATTATTTCACAAGAGCAGTTTATTTTGACGATGGTATGACATTTGATACTTGTCAACTAACTTTAAGCTAACTTCAGCCCGTGACTAAAACGCCATAAAGTAACAGTTTATCAATGTTTAAAAGATCACTTAGGTGGGAGTAGAAAATAGTTTATTATTATACGAGAGATAATGCAGGCTATTGTTCACGAGGATGAGGTTTGCGTCTCGAGTCGCCAGACAAGAGACTTAAATAATCCGAGTGAATAATGCGCATAATCTCGAGTGTAATACTATACTTTATCTACTCCAATAAAATCTGATATCTGTCTTACTTTTTACAAATTTTAAATGTTATTATAGTGGCCACTGATTACTGATGCCTATAGATGTTATAACAACGTGAATAATGAGTTCATTATTCCAGTTGTTAGGCAGAGAATTTATAATGTTTATCATTATTCACGAAAAAAACCCAATATTATACAATAGTTAATTTGTACAAAAATTTGGAAAAAATTAAGCATAGTAATTTTTTGCATAAATTGTTTCAAGCGCATAAGAAAAACTTAACCCCAACTTTGCGGGATTCTACCCCCTGCGGATTAAGATGAAAACTCAATATTTTTTTTACCAGGGTATCATCCAAATTCAAAGGCAATTTTGAAAAAAAAATGTTTTTTTCTCTGTCGTTTAATAAAATTAAATTAATATTGATAACTCGCTAATTAATCGACATGCTACAATTCAGAAGACATATTTTTGTTGGAAATTTGACGCTTTACAAAAAAGGTATTCTGCGATTTTTTTCCTAAAACCACCCATTTAAATATTATCGGAGGTAAATTTTAGAAATAAATTAAAAAAAACTGAATTTTATAGGTTGGGTTTTATTTATCTTTTTTTACTTGTGTATAATGTTGTAAATGAGGGACCGTTCTTGATTGTGCGAAAATTATTGTAACAATGCTCGATCGCAAAAGGTAAAACGCAATAAAAGTGGCAACATTGCAAGCCGTTTCGCGAGAATCAGATGTGGCGTGGCCACTGGCCCGCTACATCACTTGTCTCAGCCTTTCTATATATATTTTTTTATTAATAATTAATTATTAAAGAGGTAAAATAATTTTTAAAAAATATAAGATTGTTGAAAATTGTCAAATTATTGAGTACTAAAAATTTCACAGTACTGTAAAGAGGTAAAATAACTTAAAAAAAATATAAAGTTGTTAAAATTTGTCAAATTATTGAGTACCAAAAGTTTCACTGTACTGTGAAATTTTTACTGTAGCTTTTATAAAAATTTTACCAATGTTATGCAATTTTAATACTCAATAATTTGACATTTTTGAAAATTTTTATAATTTTTATATGTTATGAAACCTCTTAATTAATTAGCTATCGATAACAATGTATTTCTCAAAAACCGCGTGGAAAATTAACTTGAACTAGTTTTCAAAACCGCCGGAATAAAATAAGCGAGATATCAATGTTTAGCCTTAAAAACATGTTTTTATTGATTTAATTAAACCGTTTAACATAACAGTTGTTTTATAAAGAAAATATTTTAACACCTAATCTATAAATTAGGTGTTAAAATCTTAATCATAATTTCGTCAGCGAAAGCGCAAAAATAGTATATTACACTACAAGGGCAGAAAGTGTGAGATTCCTGCACGGCGCGCCATGATGCCCGAGGCTAAGCCGAGGGCATCATGGCGCGCAGTTCAGGGCTCTCACACTTTCTGCCCGTGTAGTGTATAGGTACTATTTTTCTTGATACCCGGCCGAAAATATGGGAAAAAATTAAATGTGTATATCGAAACATATTGATGCCTGCCCCGACATTTGCGGCACGAGCGAAGCCTTCGTAGCCCTTGTAGTGTAATATACTCGAAAATACGTTGTTTCGTCCCCGATTCCAATGCATCAAACGTAAATTTGACCAATGCATCAAACGTAAACTTTCTGCCGTGGAATCGGGGACGAAACAACGTATTTTCGGCCGAGGTAGTAAGAAAAAATTTTTTTGCACACATACATACGATACATCGTACCTATGTATATGCGTTGAGTCAATGGTATATGTATACCTAGTTTTTTACAAACAGATTCGATTTTTTTAACATCATCTCTATTAAAAATCCAAAGTTACCCCCCGCCCCTCAAAATAGGGAAAGGAGGTAGATGTCAAAAATATGCCCCCCCTCTCTATTAGTTAACCAAAATTTCACAAAAAAATTTTAAACCGTTTTCGAAATATCACCTGTAACACTTTAAAAAACTCTCCTATATAAAACTTTTGTGTTATAAGTAGGGGTGGGCAAAATTATCGATTAATCGATTAGTAATCGATTATCAAACCGTCGATTATTTTTTTTTAATAATCGATTATTTGATTCATTGATTTTTCCAATAATCGATTATTTTATTATTGTAATAATAAGTATTATTATTTTTGATAAAGAATGTGCGTATTCTATTCTATAAGCATTTTTACTTATAAGCATTCCACGCCAAATCGGATGGTTTAAAAATTGTGTGTCTTCTTCGATTTTCGCGAAAAATTTTTAGAGATTTTTTTTTTTAATTTTGAATAATCGAAAAAAAATACTAATTATGGAAGGCCCACTACCGGACCAGGCTGAATAGTTGTTGAATAGATAGAAGTTAAAAAAATTTTGCGAAAATCGAAAAAGACACATTTTTAAAAACACGATTTAAACTTTAAAACTTAAAAATCTTGACTTAAAACGCTTCAAATATTTTCAATATATTTTTTTTTCGAAAAGTACATTTAAAAACTAATAAAAATGAGCATTTTGATTTGGACCATTTTTTAAGAAGTTATGAGCGAAAAACAAAAAAAAAGCAGTTTTTTTTGAAAATTTGGTATCTTTTGAACCCGTGATAATAAAATCTCAAAATATACTGAGAAAGCTCTTTCAAGGGAGTACTAAGAAATATAAAAAAATTGGAGGAATAAAAAAACATCCGATTTGGCGTGGAATGCCCCTTATATATTATACTTAATATTTAGTTGCCATAGTTACCATACCTAATAATTATTATAATGACCAATTGAGCATTTTTTTAACAAAATAAAAATAGTGATTTTACAGAAAACGCATTTTTATGATTTATGCTCGGTTTAATAAATGCAGCTAAAAATTTTAAACTTTTATTGCATGCATAATACAGGTCATATGTAAGTATTAAAAAACAAGACAATTAATAATTTAATCGATTAATCAAATCATCGATTAATCAAACAATTGATTAATAATTATCGATTAATCAAATAATCGATTAATCGAAAAATCTATTATTTTAGAAAATCAATAATCGATTATGAATTTCGATAATCGCCCAGTCCTAGTAGGTAATTTTTTTTCTGGCAAAAAATTGTTGTATGAAATTGCAGATAACTAACTTATTCTTCAATTTTCGTTCTTATCTATGACTGTATGAATAAATAAACATGTAAATGTATTAATGTGTAGCAAGTATGTGTCTAATTTAAGTCTGAGAACTATTTTATCTAAAAACCATCGGGGCATTCAAGTTTATCCCTTTCCTTTTAAATTTAAGCATTTTCCCACGATTCCAAAACCATATTAAAACTATTTACGAAAAATATTTGTATTGGAATTAAATTGTTGATAAAAAATAAAAGTTTTACAAATTTTGTACCTTGTCTATAGAAATTTATACTACGTTGCCATAACTCATTGTTAAAACTCAGCAAAAAAAATGTTGACAAAGAAATTTTTACCTAAGTATACTTTGCAAATATTCTATTATTATGTAGACTTTATATTTTATTATGATTTATCACAC